AGGAGAGAGATAGAAGAGGGACAGGAGAGAGATACATTAGAACAATGGAAAGAGAACAGAAAGAGAAGGAAGGAGAATCATCGAAGCGTGCCATCAATATCGGCACACACGGGAAGAACCTTTTGCCACGAAACCTTTTTTTAAGTTCCGTACATCAGAAAAAGGTTTCGCAAGAAAAATACGAAACATTTAGGGTTCAGAATTGAATTCTATGGTTTAGTACGAAACTATTGGGGTTTAGTAAGAAAGCATTAGATTTCAATTCTGAACCCTAAAGGTTTCGTATCTTTCTTGCGAAACCTTTTTCTGATGTACGAAACTTAAAAAAGGTTTCGTAGAAAAAGGTTCTTCCCTTGTATCCAGAGGAAGAACCTTTAAAGTTTCCGTGGAAAAAAAGAAGTGTTTTTCAAACAGGATGATGCATTTGGATGCTTTTCAAATCTAACCGAAACTTTTGTCCAGGGTTCGGTGGAAAACCTATTTTTTTTAGAGTGCACTTTTGACGTTGTTCTTCAGATGGAGGTCCGTGCTCTCCACCACCAGAACAGTGTTGCTTCTTGTGCTCAGCAGTCGACGACATTAACAGTGCTTTCAAATATGTACTATATTTCTGCTTGTCAGCGAATCAATGTTCCTCTAAAAATTGCGTGTATTTATGTGAGAACGATTGAGTAATTGAAGTAAAATTGTGACAAAGACACGATAAAAGTGCACCTATTAATAATAATGTACACAGCAGAAGCAATTTTTTTATGTTAGAGAGAAAAAAAGAAGAGACGAAGAGAAAAATATGAGAGATTATTTTAGAATCAGAGAGAAGAAAAAGACCACGACGCGTCCTTGACGAACATAAACATTAATACTCATTGATCGCGAGCGCCAAACATGGTTGTAAATAAATTGCCTGTTTCGATCATACATTTTTCTTTGTATTGATGTATTTAGCTTCACGAGCAAGAAAACAGAGTGTGTGTTGATGTCTATGGCGTATCGAAATTACAACTTCAACAGAAAGATTGTTCTAAGTCACTTATTAAGAGGAATTTTACGAAACTGAATATCCTACTACTGAATGTATCATCCACAACAATATTTTACTAAGGAATATCTTTTTATTGAACAAAAAACCAGTTTCTGTTTTCTTTTTGGCATGGTTGTGTTTCCTTGGTGTAACAGAATATGACGTGTGTGAAATTGTTATTGAGCGAAGTCTTGAATATTGTTGAATAATGAGAACTCCTTTTTAATTCAGTGTTCCAAAAAGTGAGTGATATCGCTTTAATTCATATATATATATGCGGATCATACAACGATTCGAAAAAAAGTACATCATAATCTCATTAGCTTGACTGCCTCAGATGATGTTTGAAGCTTGAATTTATTTTATTTGTTTAAGGTTGATATTATTAGTAAACACTTTATAATTACAGATAACGGATGAGTAATTTTACTCATCAGAAGTGTTCATGTGATTTGGTTTTATTTATAGGCTGAAAAACCAATATCTTGCTAAGCTAAAGAACTTTCGTTGGAGTTTATCGTTGAGTGATCTTTGAAATTAAAATGAAATCCATGCTTGTCAAGCATTCGATCGATTATCGAACTGACTGTAAATCAAATCAAATGGAGATAAAGAAAAATCAAAGCAATAGCCTTTTTTTCTTAGAATTTATGACTAATATTTAATGTTCAATAAAAATATATATTCATTAGTAGGATATTCAGTTTGGTAAATTTTTTATTGATAAGTGAATTAGAAATGACTTCACTATATTCCTCTCTCAAAGTTGTAATTTCGTTTACTATTGTGTCTCTCATCCGACATATATATATATATAGGGTGTGGGTGACTCTTCCTCTGAACCCCACACCAACACCCTCGAAATGCCTGGGTCTCTATCGGTTTTCTAGAAAACTATAGATTTTTGAGTTTAAATGAATAGAAACTTGACTCAAAATATATCATTAGATAGAGAAGGAAAAAGTGCATCGAGTGGCATTCATTTCTTGCTAAATTTATAGAGCAAATCACAAAATAATTGCTAATTGTTATTAGTCTTTTACATAGATCCTACATTAATCTAGATTTTTCAGTCACAAAATAAGCTCAAAAATATTTTTTAGAGAAAACATGGTGGTAGAGAATGAAATTCTCTTCAAAATGATGTATTTGAATTCACGGTAACTACTTCTGTTCGAGCTGTTACGCCCTATTTTGCCATGCCTGTTTTATAGCACAGGAAGGAAAAAATTGCGTGATGAATCATACAGAAGGCAACAGAACGAGAAAAAAAATAGTTTCTCATCCTAACCTAGAATGTGCAAGTGAAAAGATAGGCCCGTAACAGCTCGAACAGAAGTAGTTACCGTGAATTCAAATACATCACTTTGAAGAGAATTTTATTCTCTACCACCATGTTTTCTCTAAAAAACATTTTTGAGCTTACTTTGTGACTGAAAAATCTAGATTAATGTAGGATCTATGTAAAAGATTAATAGTAATTAGCAATTATTTTCTGATTTGTTCTATAAATTTAGCAAGAAATGAATGTCACTCGATGCACTTTTCCCTTCTATATCTAATGATATATTTTGAGTCAAGTTTCTATTCATTTAAACCCAAAAAATCTATAGCTTTCTAGAAAACCGATAGGGACCCAGGTATTTCGAGGATGTGAGTGTGGGTGTTCAGAGGAAGAGTCACCAACACCCTACACCTTCATACCCATACCCACATCCACAATTGTGTGTTATTCTTTGTAAAAAATTATGCATGTCAAGAAGAGTAGCATTATTTAGTAAACGCGTTTTACTATTGATTATAAATGTTTTGACACATTTTTCATGTGTTCAAACAAGATTAAATTCAGTAAGATAAAGATATTCAAACATTGATGATTGCGACTTTCGATTATGTAATGTTAATTTTTCCATCAATGGCAGATGATTGAGGAAGTTGAAGAAAAAATTGATTTTCAACATGACATTCATATTTTACGAACACATTTAAATCAACGATCAGAAAATATATTTGTTATATGTCATGGTATCATGTATCATTGTGTATGGATATGAATAAATATGATAATGACATCGATTTGCCTCTGGGAAATAATTAACACATGAAATAGTTTGATTACTTTAAAAAATTTTGAATAGATATTGAATATTTTTTCATTTTATAGGATGTTAATTTGAATTGGCACGATGAAAAATTGAGCAAATATCAAATGTGAATTTGTTTAATCGTGCCATATGATTTATGACGTTTTTTTTTTCAACTCATTTCCATCAATAATTCGTTCATTAAGATAGATAAAATAAAGATTGACTTTTTATACATTTGCCATTCTGCATAAAAGTGAAACAAAGTAATTCATCGTAGCCGATTATCGTCAAATTATAAATAAGCCAGAGACACTTTAAATGGGACAATTTCTTCTAGAAGATAAAAAAAAGTAAATGATCAATATTCGGAAAATTATTAAAAATTCATTCGAATGAGGATAGATTTTAATATGAGTAACTTACTTCATTATCGATTATTATTAATCTAGGAATCAGAAACTAAATAGTAACATAAAACGATTATCAAGTAAATAAATACAAGTTTCGTATGAGTCTACTATGAGATGTAATAATTCAAATAGAGTGAAAGAGAAAATGAGTGTGGGGTAAGAACTAATAGAAGATGAACCACAATTTAAATATTGTAAATTACTATACATAGTAAAGATTTGTGTGTTATGTATAGATCTATGAATATCTTGGATTGAGTTTCAATCTCGACATTTATTAATATTAGAAGGAAGTAATAAAATTTATGCTAATCTCCACTTCAGAATAAAAGTCATCGTCAGCGGCGTAAATAGGGTGAGACGTAACGCCCCCCCCCTGCTTTTGAAAATTCCGTTTTTTTTGCGTACCAAAACAGAAAAAAAACTTTACACACCCTGTTTCCAAAAAATTTCATTTTTTTAGGTCATGAAAACAGAAAAATTAAACTTATATACCTCCTTGCTCTGAGACCTCACTCACGCCCCTGGCAGCGGGAGCGGTTCTGTTCTTTATACATGGCGTCGCGGTAGCGGCATATTTTCACCCGCGATGGACATCTATGACCCCGATTACCTTTGGTCAAACTTTCCTAAGAATTTGTACTAAGACGTCATTGATTTAGCGCATACTGAAATCTGATTGGTTTGACAAACAAACAAACGAACAAATCTTTAAGATATTTAAGCTAGGCTAGTCAGCAAGCAGAGCAGAAAAAGAGCATCTTATAAGCGAATCAATATCAAATGCACTATCTAAAAAAGTTGAAAGGGCCGAATTTTTAAATAACACTAGTCGATAGAGAAAATTATTCTGATTGGCTAAATTGTTAGAAGAGAATAATCCATTGCAGTAAACCTTGATTTTTTCGGAAACGACTCTTGAGCCGAAAAATCTGATTATACACAAAGATCTAGCTCATATTTAGGAACAAAATGATATCAAGAAAAACCTGCTAAAAATTGTCAGTGACAGTGCATTACTAAGTGCATAAATGTGTTCTAAATTTGCTATTGAATCGATGATTCATCATGATTTGCAGACCGATTAAGCAGCGTATAACTCTCTTTTTCAGAAAAGAGAATAAAACTTACTCAAACATTCGCCATTTTTTTTTATAAATGCTAGTGATATGATTATTGAAAATTTCAGCTGAAATAGCTAGCTTTATAAATAATTTTAAGCATAGTTATGAATTGAAAGAAACTAGTTTGTACATTGGCGCTGCCATTAGAAGCATTAATAAAAAATTGAACTGTTGACTAGGAAGCAGAATAATATTATAAATTCAAAAAAGACTTTAAGGTTCCCAATCTATTTGAATCATTATTTGAGGTTGACTTTAAAAATTTATCATTTGCTTAATTTAAAAAAATATAAAAAGAAAATTTCATAAATAAAAATAATTCTATTTTACAATAAATAAAACATCGTTGAGAATCAAATTACATGGATATGTTAGTATAATCCAATTGGTTTGTCGGATAGTTTGGTACTTCATATTCATGTTTTTTTATTAGAAGTTGTCGAGACTCTCTGATAGCTGCCATTTGTTCTGCCATTATTGGATATTTACTCGCGGTAAGAATCCATTGGTAAATAGTTGTTAGTGAAGTCGTTTTTGAGTTTGACGTCAGGTTTTGTAGTTGATTTTTGTAATTATTGTTCATCTTTTTAAGTTCGCTAAACACAAATTCATTGAGATAATGTGGATCTTGTGCATGGCAAATCTCAGCTTCTTCATTAATCATCTTCTGAAGACCATCGAGAAACGGATCGTATTGTCGATTTTCAGTAACATCGAACAGGTAATGAGCGAATAAAGCACTGACAGTACATAATTGTTTTAATAGATGCATCATCTCACTTACATGAAGAGTTGACGGTTGTTGTACAAGTGAATGTTGAAGTTCATAATCAATTCGAACGTGTTTGTCCATGGGGCATTGGCAAGCATTGCATTCATTATCAATTTCATGTACATCTTCAATTTTAATCCAAATATTGCCAAAACGATGAGTTTTCTTTGAACAAGACAGACAAATTGCAGACGGATGTCTGAGCGTAATAGTGTTCAATTGAATGAATACTTGAGTCGATTCCATATTCCATAGAGAAAGTGTTCGAATAATATTTTTCATTGTTTCAAGGATAGGACGGATCATAGAATTAATTTCAATTTGAGCAAGTCTAATCGATCGCCAATCTTCATCTCGACGATATACATTAAGATTTTTACGAATGTGCTCAATGAGTTGAGTCGATTCTTTTTTCGAATGATGCCAACTCAATTCATAGTCATGTTTCTGTTCGTTATTGAATTCGATTGAATTTTGAGTTGCAACCAGATATCGAAATGCGTCATTATCGAAACGGAACATATTTTCTGTGTCATCCGGTGTATAGGATATCGAACGAGTATGAGTGAAAAGAAACAAAATATTGCTACGAACTTTCTCACCGAAAAACTTGCACATTTGTTTCAAACATGATTGAAACGAACCATTCAATTGTGGCACATTCGATTTAAGTAGAAAACACAGTGCATTCACATGAGTTAAATGATTCAAATAATTTAAAATATGTTCCATATTTTCTTGCTCAAAACTTGGCGTATCGATAATGCGTAACTTTGTTTGCGTTCCATTAAGATGAAATAGATAAGATTTACAATACTGTGTGATTGTTTGATCAAGCGAATTAGAATATTCATGGTCGGTTTCTTCGATTAAATGAAATCTTACCAAGTGTTCTTCATCCAAACGAAAACAGACGGGTATGAGAACAATTGGACTATTCAACAAAGCTTGATTAAGGCATTCGAAGGTAAGATAATTGACAAGAGCATTAATGAATGTTGACTTGCCGACACCGGATTCACCGAGAAGTAGAATGTTGATGGTATCCGTAGTTGATGTCGATCGCGAAGAATTAGGTATAGGTAGTGTTCTTGGTCGTGGAACTGGCTTCATAGGCAAGGAAATGATCTGCGTTGCATTTAACTTATATGTACAATACGAAAAGTCGACATACATCGGGCGTAGTTTTACATGATTTTCCTGTTCACGAATGAGTCGATCACGAAGACCATTCCAACTCAATAGATCCGTGCTTTTCAGATCGTCGTCCGAACATAAACAATGTCGAGTAGACTCATAACGAGTCAATTTCTGCTGGATTTTTATTAGATCATCGCCTTCTTGTATACCACTATCCAGTGCGTTGCAATAGTCAAATTCTAGTTGTTGTAATTCATAAATGATTTGTGCTTTTGCTTGCAAATGATCAACATACATATTTAAATCATCGGTTAGTTTCCTCCAAAGAATGTAAGATTCATCGCGAAATATTTGTCCAATGTCTGCATTAACATTTTGACCACTACGTATTGAAACGATCAATGAACGTAATCGTTCAGCTACATCTTCGTGATAGACTTTTGTTTGTGAATAAATTCGATGTGCATCCATCATTTGCCAAGGTAGACATTTTTCAAGTAACACTTTAGTACGATTGTCTAGTTTTGAGTTCGTCTGCTTTATTACGGTCCACGAATGAAATAAATCATGTTCGATCATATCACGAAATGCTGGCTCTAATGGCAAGTTTCGAGTACTTTCTGGATTGCACGTTGGAAAGAACCATTTCATAGGACTAAGATGAAATTTTAACAATCGATGTTCTTTTGGATTAATTCTAAGTGGATATAACGCGCGACAAATATTGATAAACTTGGGCATCTTTTCTAACTTTGGAATGTTGGAATAGACTGTTGTCGAAAGAACCTGATCAAACAAGCTTTCTTCACCTAACATCAATGTGATTGTCTCTATATTATTTTGCAAGAAGTTACGAATTTTTTCTAGTAGAATATCAATATCATGAGTAATTTTATCATCGGATGGTAATTGGAGAATAACGACGGTCTCAATGCCAATGGTTACTCCTGAAATAATATGCGTTGCAGAATTCGTAGACAATGCCGTTTGCGATAAGTTCGTAGTTTGATCAAGATTTTCGAGATGTTCTATACGATCTGAATAATGATAACGAAAACATCGAGTGTATGGATTGATTGTATGGGAATAATCAATAATACGTGATATACCGATCTTTGGAATAAAGTTTAATAATAGACTTAATCTTAATTCATGTTCAATACCCATTATTTCAGCAAGATTCGGACTGTTATTAGTTCGATATTTTTGAATTGTACATAATACTTTTTGATTTTGTATAATAGATGTTTTCATAATGTTCATATCTAATGCTTCAAGTATTTGATCTCGATGTACATCATATAATGAACCAAGACATGCTGCATTATCGGTAGCTGTAAGCAGCATTGTCTCTGTTGGTGAATACATAACTATCGAAAAAAACACAGCTAAACGTTGCTATTCGATAGATATTTATACGCAATGAACAGTGGCAGCGCGACCTGGGGAGGGTATCCCCCCGCCCTACTGCTGTGGAAAAATATGAACTGAATTTTCTCCGATTTTGACAAAAAAGTCATATAAAATTTTCTCCCGCTTCGAAAAAAATATATTGGCGATATTCTCCCATTTTGAAGAAAATACGTGTCAGCTCTCTTTAATTCGACAAAAGATATTTCTAAAAATTTCTCTATTCTAACAGCAAATGTATCCCAAGTTCTGCTCAATTTGTTAAAAAAGATGTCTCAAATTTGATCCGATATTGAAAATGTTTTATTATAGTTTTCTCATATCTGTTTCGTTTCGAGTCTACAATATAAACTGAAATATTCCATGATTATAATTTACCTTTAAAAATTTAACGAACATGTAATATAATCTATCCTTTTTTAGTTACTTATATATTAATATTTCGATTGCTTGAGTTTTAGGCGATTTTTACGAGTTTCTTTCATTTTGAAAAAATACCCCCTCCTACTTTTTACCCTTTCGCACCGCCACTGGTAATGAATTAGAAGGAAAATAAGTAGATTGAAAATTCTAATAAGAGTATTATATCAAACATTGAACTATTTATAAATGAAACCTTCTTACTTCTCATAGTATGTCGTGTCAGTATTTTTTCTTCCGGAAAAAAGATTTGAGCAAGGTTGAATTTTTAATTTCTAAACAACACAACATTTTCATCATAAAATAGTTTCAAGTGTGAAAATTCTTGATTTTAAAATGAATTATTATCCCATTCGTAGTTTGTATAATGTTTATGGCACAACATATTTTCAAGGGGGTTATAATCTATATAAATATGCAGGGACGGCGCGAAGTAATAAAAATATAGGGGGGGGGGTTACTTGAAAACGGGAGGTTTTTTTTCAAAAATCGGAGGAAATCAATAAAAATCTCTTGTATTTTCTTCAAATCGGAGT